TTTCAATTGTCTCCCAAAAGTCCATTCCAAATACTTTCAAACTCTACCTAAGATATCCACCAAAAATGCCAAAACTGCACAAAAATCCCAAAACTCCACAAAAATCCCAAAAAATTCAGAAAAATCTCAAAACTCCAAAATCCCAAAAATATTTAAAATTGAAATAAATCCATCAACGCAGTTAAAGCAAAATCCATTCGCCCTCCGCAACAGTTTGTCGAGGCGGATAAATTCGAATAAACTCTAGCTCACAAAGAGCCAAATGCCTAGTCGAAAATATCACTAGGATCCATTCTCAAACAATCTCTTGCCAGTAAGGGCGTGGTACGTGTCCTCTAACCGGCAGTTTCGCCGCCAAATGGCACTGCAGGTAAACGGTTATGACCCGGGGCCCTCTGAACCGAGTGGTTTTGCCGCCAAATGGCACCACAGATAGCGGTTATGGCCAGAGCCAATACGCTCCTTAATGGCGTTAAATCCTTGAGATATGAATCAATAGGATATGATCGATAGGGAATAAAGCCCTTTGTAAGCTAAGGTGGGTTCACATTTGTCCCCTTAGACAAACATTCAACCCCGGTCTATAAGGTTCCCTTGGACGAAGCAACCCATGGCTGCCGACAAGGATCCTTCTGTCAGGTTGGGTCGACTACCTCCTCTGACTAAGTAGATCAGGGACCACGATGGCCCGGGATGACGGAACCATGGGATCTTGATCGGGTCCATCGTCCATTCCCCTACCATCCGCTTTAAGTGTAGGATGGTGCAATTTCTATTTAAATATTAAATCTTTCCAAATCTTCCAAATTCTCAAATCCAAACCCAATTTTCAAATCCAACTTCTACCAATACCCAAACCCATTACTGCTACTATATGCCATATAACACGTATATTCTACGTATCTGATTGACGACTAGCCTTAATCGAAAGTTCTCTCTCGTGATCGGGAGGGGTAATTAACTATAGGGGCTTGCGCATATAGGAAACCAGAACTCAGATCATAAAATCCTCACAAAATGAGGGCGAAATCTCTGGGTAGTGTCTTATCTACAAACCCATCTGCCTTCCAAAATTTTCCTCGGAACTTAGTTCGTTAAAACTCCCTTGCCGAATAGGAAAAGCGAGTGGAGGCCGAGGCCGAATTTTCGGAGCCCACAAAAACTTGACCCTAATTTATCCTGATTGTGACTATTTGATCACCCCCCTTCTGTGCCTTCTCCGCCTCTTTTCATCAATGGCCACATCACTAGTGTCATGAGTAAGAACTCCCAGAGTCATGCTTCCTAACATTGTCACATTATGATACCTTTTTTCTGACACTTTTGCCGTTCGATCACCACTTTATTACTCACATCCACCACCCACTCCCCATTTTCTTCCTCAACATAGACCTTGGCGTTAATTTCTTCAATGTTTAGCATGTACGGACAAAACTTGCATGAAGGATTATCTTTTGTTAACTGCAGTGTTTTGATGGTCATGATGCCAATATGTAAATCGAGGCATATCATGATTTGTTGTGGCAGTAGATTTGTAAAATCTAGGAGGTGAGATATAATCTCTGGCTGTGAGTTGATCTTTTATGTGGAAGTTGGAAGCCGTACTCTGCATTAATAATGCTTGCGTGTCTGTGAGTTCCCTCATTTCACAGCCAGTTTATCCATTGAAGCCAACTTGTCCACTTTTTGTTATCGATATGATTAGGTTGCATAATCTTTTCATTGGGGCGAGGAAATGACTTAAATGAATGTTTATTTCCTTTTTATGGCAAATAGAGACGTGCCAGTTTCTTGTAAATGGCATTGCATCTTTGTAGCCCCACTATGACCCATTTGATGCATTTTCTCCTTACAATCTTAAGTCTCCACCCCTGCAAGGGCGCACTATGTATTTTTTTGGTTATTTGCTTATTTTTTCATTCATGTATGAAAACCCCTGCAAGGGCGCACTATGTATTTGTTTTGTTATTTGTTTATTTTTTTCATTCATGTATGAATAAGGATTTTTATTCATATGATATTGTTACAGGTAAAAGTATGCGATATCTGCGGTGATGTAGGTCAGGAGGATTCCCTTGCTATCTGTAGCAGATGTTTAGATGGTGCAGAGCACATGTAAGCATTTATGAATCATTGATTTTTTATGCTGATCAAATTGCTCATACCATGGTTGCCTCGAATATGTACTTAAAATTTGTTTTCCTTTAAGCAGCTACTGCATGGAAACAATGTTGGATGAACTTCCTGATGGTGATTGGATATGTGAAGAGTGCAAGTTTAAAGAAGAATACAAAAATCAGGAAACGGTAACTGAAACACAAGAGCAGTCATACTTGGATGGAAATGCTCAGCATGGCAGTACCATATATAAGAAGGATGGAAATGTAATCAACGAAGATATGGTGGACAGCAGAACACTCCAAATTCCAGAGATCTCTTTTATGAGGCGTGGTGAAAATGTGTACCTCAATTCAGCTACCAGCGAAAAGGCCTCCAAAAGAAATCCTGTGTCTGCAGAAACTTCAATTCCTCCGGATATATCATTGTTGTCTCCTGAGGGTTCATTAACAAACCAAGTCTCAGCATTGAAGAAGCCATCCCATCCTGAACAATCAAGTGGAAGCTGCCCCATAATTAAAAGACAGAAAGCTCAAACTTCGGTAGATCCCATTTCCTCAGCTAGTAGAGATGGTTTTAAAGTAATAAGTGGTAGGTCTATAACTTGGAATATTTTAAATTTTATTTTGGTATAATTTTCTTCAATGCTTTTTCACCTTTTATTGAGTTGGGATAGTACCCCACATAGTGGGATAAAGGCTTGATGCTGTTGTTGTTGTTGTTGTTATATTGACTTGGGATATTAAACTCTTTTCTATTTCTCTGCAGGACCTTTATTAAAATCAAGTTCTTTCAAGAATACAAATACCAAGCCAAAAGTGAAACAACTACTTGAAGCTATCCCATTGGCCGTGAATACAGATGGAAAGTTTCCTTCCAAAAATACACGGAAAGGTGGACTAACTAGAGGAATGGTTAAATCTACCTCTTTTAAAACTGAGAAGGGTACTTGCAATGATTTTGAATTAATAAATGAAAAACAGTCTGTTAAGCTAAATCAATTTAGAAATTCAAGTGTGGAAAGGACCAAAGAATTAGGTGTTACTGAAAGAGAGAATTCTTCTGCGTTGGACTTCTACCAAGTAGTAGATAGAGGATTGATTGATGGGGATGATTCAGGTGAGAAATCTCCATATTTGATGGCTCCCAGTACACTTATACCTATTTATGTTTTTTTCAATGCATTTTTATTATTGGTGGCTTTAGGATACAAAAGGGATCCATTACATTCATCAAGCAGTTCTATAACTGCATCTTCAAATGGATTGAATTTACAGTATCACAAGCCAGGGCAGACTCCCAAGGAAGGATTTCAGCATCATGTAACTATGGCTAATAATTCTCATAACCCCGAAACAGTTTCTCAATGCAACAATAACCACCATCTGAGTCTGGAATCTACACATCAGGATGACATAGCCAACGTTGCTGCATTTTCCACCACCTCAACTAAGCCAATATCTGGTGGCAGTCGAAATTGTCAAAAATGTAATGAAACAGGTCACCCTACGCACTTATGCTCAATTGACAAACATGGCGTCTCAGCCATTAAGCTTTCAGCTGACCGAATGTCATGGGAGAATGCTAATAGAAGTAATAAATGGAAATCTGCAGGGGAAACAATTATTCCAAAACAAGAAGCATTACAATGTACCAACACAACTGATCAGTCTAAGGAATTTCCTATTGCAAGGTTTGGTCATGGTGCTAAACTTGCTAACAAAGAGTTTCCTCTGCACTGCTTTAGGAGAACTTATCAAGAAGGAAGAACCAATGTCAGAAGCAGCTCTGTTTTTGAAAAAAATGAACCCACAGCACATCCGTATGTTGCAAACCGGACTGAAATCCCTCATGATGATGGAGCAAGCAGATTGAATCCCTTTGGTGTCATTTCCAAGGAGTTCCATGTGAAACCTTCCAAACAGGTTTTACCCAGTATAGATCCATGCTGTTCAAATACACTGAGAACTTCCGTAATTCCACAGCTTGAATTGTTTTGGCAGTATGTTGTCTCTTGGAATCTTCATAGTTCTAAAAGAAAATATACTTTGATGTTTCTATATTTAACAGTCAGTTAGGTTTAGTTTTTGTTACTATTTAGTTAGTTTCTTGAATCCCTTGTTTTCATAAATGCCACGTGTCTACATGTAGAGGTGGCTTTGAGGTGCTTAGGGCAGGAAGGCTTGTCGAGTGTTGTGATGGACTTCAAGCTCATTTCTCAAGTTATGCTTCAGGCAAGGTGTTGGAAGCGGCAAAAAAGTTTCCTCCCTACAAAGTGCAATTGGAGGAGGTGCCTTGTATAAGCTCTTGGCCTCAGAATTTTCATGGAAACCATGCTAAAGAACAAAATATTGCTCTTTTTTTCTTTGCTAAAGATATTGAGAGGTATAGTTTAAAAGATTATTGCAGTAAAATCTATTCTTAATTTTTGCATTAAGAAAAAACGAGTTCTCTCTAAATTTGTTCTTACAGTTATAGAAGTAATTACTGCAAGCTTTTGGGAAAGATGCTCAAGTTTGACCTAGCACTCAAAGGGAACTTAGGTGGTTTTGAGCTTCTTATATTTCCATCAAATAAGTTATCTGAAAACTCCCAACGTGAGTTGCAATCTGAATTTTTTATTAGTTGAAGGCATTCCTTACATTCTGAATAACCGTTTCACCTGAACTGAGGATTCTATTTGCCCACCATCCAGGTTGGAACAGATTACTCTTTCTGTGGGGTACATTTAAGGGAAGGAGGTCGAGCAGTCCTGAAGTGCTGCCAAATGTCAATCAAGATCCTTGCAAATCCACCATAGATGTGAATTTGCCCACTACCGTGCCTGAAACTTCCTGCTACCAAGAAACAAATTCCTCTCAGAATTCCTATGAGGAAGATAAATACGTTGTTGCCAAACCTTTATCAACAGGAATTGAAAATAGGATTTGTCATGCACCCAAATATTTTTGCCATACATCTGTTGATGCGAAGCTACTGTCAGGAAACCCATGCCCACCTCCGGTGGTCTACTTGCCAGATACCACAAGTCAGATTCCTACTTTGCATGATAGTTCTTCTGAATCAAGTATGCAACAAAAAACCGCATAGGTATTTTCATATGTGATTATGCTTGTTTGCTAACACTTTCTCAGGTATTTCATGAGTGTAAAGATCACTTTTTTTTTTGCTTCTAAATTTCCCCTTAATAGATCCAAATACTATTGAAGATAATATTGCCGAATAGTTGACTAAATTTTCCATGTCTTAAATACGGGAAATTTTCCTGCATTGATATGGTTCGTGATGGAAATGAGAAATCTAAAGTTAAATGTTTAACTTTGTTCAACCCTTCTGATAGTAGTTTTGTGGATTGATTAAAGGGATGATTTAGTCATCTCGACATGGAGCACCTCTATTTGGAATCGTGTCACTGCACAGTCATTTGGACATTGATTTTCATTCCATTTGGCATTTGTAGGTTCCAGTTGATATATATATATATATATTTATAAATTTTACGCGTCCAGCAGGAGAATTGTTGTTTTTGTTTTTAATTGTAATTTGGTATATGCATGTTCGATGATTATTAAATGGGTCTTGGAAACAAACTGATAGTAATCCGATCTCCTCATAACAAAAATAACAATAACGAAGAGAAAATGCAGCAAAAAACAACGAGAAAGATTTTTATTTCAGCAAAACAAATCAAGATACAAGTTGGTCTACTATTCGAGAAGTATATCGGCTCTCCACAAACCCTAGGCCCCGCTAGGAAGAACTCCAAAGATAAACTATAACAAGTACAATCACATAATGAAAATTAAATAATCTAATTTTCCTTATATAAGCCTCCCTAAATTCCTCCCAAATCTCAATTCAAAATAGCCCTCTTTCCTTAAACAAATCTTTCCTAATTCCCTCCCTAATCTCAATTCAAATCAGCCCCCTTTCTTTAAATAAAATTTTCCTAGTTCCCTCCCAAATCTGAATTCAAATCAACCCCAATTTTCCTAAATAAACTTTTTTAATTCCCTCACAATTTTAGTTTCCTTTGGAAAGTAATTAAAGGTGAATTTATTCCACTTTGGACCCCTCTCTTTCCTTCCCCGCAATCCCTGCTAGTGGGGCCCACAGGCTCGGCCAGTCTATCAATACTCCATTTTCAAAGAGCCACATTGTCCTCAAGATGGAATGAAGGGAATTGCTATTGAATCCTATGGTATAGTTCTCATGTTGTTTTATAGTCAAGCAAATCCTTCCACACAATCAACACTTCTCTAGCTCCTTTGTATCACTTCCCTTGGCTTCAGGATTCCATTTCTTCTATCAAGGTCATTGGCAACATCGTTGTGGACTGTGGTCGCTAATGACTTTTCTCAATTGGGACACATGGAACATCGAGTGTATGGTGGAAGTAGGGGGTAGCTGCAAACAATCCGTCATGACACCAATCCTCTCCACCACCTCATAAGGACCATAATACCATGAAAATAACTTTTCATTTCTTCTTCAAGCTTAAGGTTTTCTGTCTGTAAGGTCGAATCTTCAAATACGCTTTATCATCCATCTTGAATTGCATGTTAAAAGACTTCAACCTCTCCTTTATAGTTGCCCTTGAAACTCCACTACCGTTGCGCCCATCACTTCCCCCAGGAATAATACCACCAGAAGAACTTTGGCCTTGAACAGAAAGAGACTGTAGAATCTTTGCCCAAGCTACCATTTTATATTGATTTGCATTTTGTTGCACAATTCTTCTATGCCTCTGAATCCAATCATTACCCATGAAATTCTTTGCCTCCGATCTTCAAACGGATCTTACCATGTAGTGGATGTTATTTTAATTAATATATAAGTCAATGTAGGATCCTTATATTGCTTAGATTTACCATAGAGGTTACTTTTAGAAGCTTGCATAATTCGCATTATAGGAGCTGGCAGTTGAGAAGTTCACCTTGCTCTCTCCTAGGATTTGCAACCACTTCATTCCCAAAATTACATATGCGCTTCCTAACTCTAAGGGAAGGAAATCCTCCTTCACCTGGTTCTCCTACAGTATCACCATTAGCCTGGGTAGATGCCTCTACTCTTCTCCACCTTCCCCATTCCCATCATCACTCCAAAATAGCCCATGTCGACCAGCTTCAGCCCCAAATGATCCACCACTTTCCTGGAGATGAAATTGTGTCTCGCCCCACTGTCCAACAGAACTACCACTAATTCTCCTCCTATCTGTCCCCTCACCTTCATGGTGTTATTTGAGGTAAAACCCATCATTGAGTTCTGGGAGAACTCCGCCACATCTAAGTGCAAATGCTCCTCTAGAGTCTCCTCATCGTCATCACATACTTTAAGTATCTGCAACGAACGGTCGTTGCAGGGTTGGCCCGGTGCAAACTTCTCATCACAACGAAATCACAGTCCCTAGCCCGCTTATCCTAAACCTCTGCTTCTATCAATCGCTTGAAATTTTCTCTGGGTCGTACTCCCAATTCCCTATCCTTAGGTACTTCTCTCTAAATGAGTAAAAACTGTACTTTTGGTGCCAAAAAAATAGTTGTCGTCCACTATGAAGCTCTCGAATTGTTGCTCTTATTGCTTCTCTTAAGTGAGTTTTTCTCCTCTATCATCTGGGCTAGCTCCATAGCCTCCCCCAACCCCCATGGCCTCATGTGGGCTCCGAAAATTCGGCCCCGGCCTCCACTCGCTTTTCTTATTCGGCGAGGGAGTTTTAACGAACTAAGTTCCGTGGTAAATTTTGGAAGGCAGATGGGTTTGTAGATAAGACACTACCCAGAGATTTCGCCCTCATTTTGCGAGGACTTTATGATCTGAGTTCTGGTTTCCTATAGGCGCTCAGCCCATTCACCTCAAAGTACCCCTCCATCCTATAGTACCACCCTATGATGCACGAACACGAACATGGCGACATGGACACGACACGACATGGACATTACTTTTTCTAAAAATATAGGATACAAGTATGGCACGTACAAGTCATTATATTTTTTTATAGTGTATATATATTAATGTAACATCATATTAGAAATGAAGAACAATAATAAATGAATGACATAATAACTTATCTAGCTTATAATATAAAATGTTATGTAAAAAATATCTAGTACAACAAAAAAAAATATAAGCAAATAATCATTTACTACAACATCAAACATTCAAGCTTCAACTACTAGGATTAGCTTCTAAGGTTTGTCTTTGGCCTTAAATATCATTGTTATTGAATATCAATGCTTCCAACTCTAGTTCATCAAGCAAAAGATTTGCAATCTCCAATATTCCCATATCATCAAGGGATGTAAACCCATCTTCAGCAACATCCCACATCTTATTATCACCTGTTATATAAAGTGCAGTCTTTCTTAATAGAAGATGAAGATTTGTACGCACATAAACTAAATCTTTAGCTCATTTTGGAGCAATTTTATTCCTCTTTATAGATTGAATGGATAAGTGCTCCAATTTCTCTCACAACAAGAGGAGGATGAAACTTGATGAAGAAGTTTTATTGCTATTATTTGAAGTAGCGGTGTTGAAGCTTCATGAATCAACCACTATATCTTTGGATCCATCCTCCATCTATCAACTAAAGATTCTTGATCACAAAAGTCCTCTAAATATCCAAAGAACTTTGTAAGTTCTATATTAATCCTTCTCTCCTTATGTGTGAAATAACATTTCAAACATATATTTCTCATATTTGAAACTTCTAAATCTTTTTTATGGTGAGACATGTTGATGGTCTTCTTGAAACTATTATTTACTTGAATATCTTTAAAGAACACAAAGAAAATAAAAATTATTAATTCATTAGCCAACAAATTAAAAACTAAATTAAAAGATATATTCAAATTTACTTTGGATTTAATGAGAGAGACAAACAATGAAGATGTGTGTTATTTTTGCTCAATTTATCCTCAAGAATAGTATAGACAACACTCCAAAAACTTGAGTTTTCATCTTGTGTCTATCTTTCATGTTTGTATATAACTTCTTTCACTTAGTTAACGTAGAGTCTCACATCTCATAAATCAAATGTAGGAATGATTTATCTATCATCCTCTCTCAACATTTCACAGATTGGATCAGTAAAATCCAAAATATAGTCAATGTTATCCCATCACAAATTATCTAAGATCTTTTCTTTTATGTATCTTACCTTCCCAGTGTCATCTTCTCGATAGCAAGACCACTTCTCACTAATCACCATGAATTGTAGAATATTTTTATTTGTTTGAATCTTTTTAACATGATTATTACAAAGTCAAAACGAGTTTTAGCAATAGCTAACATTCTCTAATGTGAGATATCATTAAAGATGACAGTCTCATTGAGTGGTTCATTATGAAATTTTTTTATCAAATTATCGTCATCTACAACCACTATTATCCAATGACATTTAATATGGATGATTTCATTGGCCTTTGTATTTTGGGCTGCATAAATATTTTTTAGAGCAAGGTTTACAGTATGCACAACACATGGAGTTCAGAAGATATGAGGATATATTTACTCCACCAATAAACCTGCAGCTTTACATACTGACGCATTATTAGTGATAATCTGCACAACATTTAATGTCCCAATCATCAGTATTGCCTCGTTTTTTTTTAAATCATCACTATTACCTCTTTAATCAATTTAGAAAAAAATATTTATTCTTATATTTCCTTCACAATTCACAGTTTTGGGTAAATCTTTGTAACAACTATGAAATTGATAAGTGATCTTTTTTGAGGATCAGTTCAACCATCGCACACCAAACTCACACCTTTTTCTTTCAATACTCATATTGTAGGTTCAATTAATGTCTCAATATTTGCTCTTTCTATCTCTAATAATTTTGATCTTATTGCATTGTATCTAGGTGAAATATAACCTGCAAGGTTATTATTGCATGGAAAAGTAAAAGCATCCTTATAATAAGGATTCCTTGCAAGATTGAAAGGAAGTCCAACTGAAAAAAAACATCCTTGCAATTTCAACATCAAGTTGCTCTCACATCTACATATTAAAAACCTTTTCTAAAGAACTACTAGCATCTCATCTTTTCTTTTTAGATTCATGTCCCTCTCTTCTAAATAAACCAACATTATCAACTCTAGCAGAGGAGGAAATAGTGTGGGATGAAGATGAACCATGAGTAAAGGGAAAAGGTCTCTCTTTAGGAAGTTCCCTTTTCATTGTTGATTCAACTTCATCAACATGTTTGTTTAATTCTATCAATTGTGAAGTAGTAATTTTATAACATATTATAATTACATGACCACCAATTTTAAGTAGATATACTTTCACCATTGAGTATGATCCTTTGTAAGTGACACCAAAGTAATTGCATTTGAATGACACATGTCCTCCACGTTTAAATATTTTTCCTAACTGATTCCATAAGGGGTTATTAGCTTCTACAGAAGGCTCTATTGAACCTTCACCACTTTCAGTCTCACCACCACTAGAGCTAATTTTGCTTTTAATAAGAACTGATGGAATGAAAAATTGTCTTAGCATTAGAAAATCATACACACTTTTCGAGAATAAACTAAAATTAATTGAAACAAAAAAGTTGATTCTTCTTGGTATTTATTTACTTCTCTAGTTCTCTAATTCTTTCTCATAATATTTCTTTAACCTCTAATCTAAATCACAAAGCATATGTATATTTACTTCTCTACTTCTCTATTTGTCTCCCATAATAATTCATTGGATATCATATAATTAATCTTTATTCTCTTAATCTTAAATCTTTTATATTCTAAATATTTTATATCATTTAATTTTTCACCTATTACAACAAATCCTATCAACTAGAATTTTTCATGAATACATACACTAAGATACTTGAATGTTAAAACCATATGTAAAGTTCTAACACTAGTTAATGTAACATAATCTTAAGAACGTCAATATAATAAAACATTCTTTGCTTTCTATATATTTTTTCATTAATTTCCTTAGCATAGCAATCACATCCATTATGAATCTTTCAAACATATGGATAAATTGAGCCTTAAGTATCGATGTAATTTATTCTATATTCCTCATATAACTTCAATGTATGACTCCTATGTTTAATTTCCCTAAAATCAATAATAAATATAGACAATGGAGGGAACAAACTAAAGTATACATAATTTGCTTAGTTGTTTGCTAGCAGGAATATAAGAAAAAAAAACTAAAGTAGCAAATAATTTGCTAACTTGCTCACTCTCCCTCCTCTAGCTTCGACGGAAAAACATGTCGAAGCGAAACCTTTGATGCCCTAAAAATGGCGAAGACGAACCTGTGAGAAAGGAATTTGAAAATGAACGAGTGAAGAGAACATCTCTAGTCGGACATACCAGGTAGAAAATAGAGCAGTAGATTCGATGAAGACGTTGACGAAGACTTTGAGGAGGTTTCGGGCTCGGCTCGTCGCAGAAAAGACGTAGATGAGTACGTTTGGCTTCATGCGTGTGATCTCTAGGCTCGGTGTGCTCACCTGGTTGCGCAATTGAAGAAGATGACGGTAGTCGAGGGAGAGCAATGATGCAGTGCTAAAATTTGAATATCCCAAGGCATAAGGGCAGTCCAGTTGTATTGATGCATATACAGTTCTCGGATGTGCTAAGAGTTTTTTATTTGATAAGAATAATATAAAAAAAATAAAAAAATTTAATTTAAAAAAATATATATATACTATAAAAAATTAGGACATGTGTTTGCCGTGTTCGACATGTGTCCTAGTTGTGTCTGACATGTGTTAGTGTCCAACGCGTGTCTGACATTGTATTCCCTCTTTAAGAGGTGTGTCGGTGTATTATTGGTTCCACCCATGAGCATCTTTCCCCTAAAAAATGAGTATCTTTAGCTTTCTCACTCTCGGATCCCCTCCGTCCCACTTCCTCGTCCACCTTCTGCTCCTCCCATGTGGCGATTCTTGTGATCTCTCTATTGTTCTCTCTCAACCCCTCATAGATTTTATCTTCCTCAAAATCAGCCATTCTCATTTCTTCCTCTCAATTTCTCCTCATGCTATATTCTTCACCCATTTTTCTCCTGGTTATCAGTTCAAGAGCTGACATATTTTTCTAGTTGCCCAATATCTCTACCTCTTAATCATCCTCCATTGTGTTGATATTGGGATTTCTTCCACTTCATTGGCCACCTGCTGGTGCTCTCTCCTCCAATATTGTCGGTTGGGTGTGAAACTCCAATATTTTCTTCATCATATCCTCTAGGTTAGAAAGCCTTCCTTCCATTGATGAAAATTGTTCCTCAATTTCAGATTTGAGCCGGCCAACTTCTCCTATAGTTTCTCTTCCAAAGCATCCATTTTCTTCAGTGCCATAGGTCCCAAATCGTGCTCTGATACCAATTTAATAGGAATCTGATCTCATTACAAAAACAACTATAACAAAGAGAAAACGTAGCAGAAATCAGCAACAACACAACAACAACATCAAGCCTTTATCCCACTACGTGGGGTCGGCTACATGAATCCTTTTTCTCCATTGTGTCATATTAAAAGTCAAATTATCGTTTAAATCTAATAAAGAAAGGTCATTCCTAATATTTTTTCACCAAGTCTTTTCGTCTTTTTAGGTCTACCTTTGCCTTTCTTAACACAAGTCAAATCTAATACCTCTACTCTCCTAATCGGATCATCGGAAGGCCGCCTTTTTATGTGACCAAACCATCTAAGGCGACTCTCTCTAATCTTATCTTCTACTGGAACCACTCCAATCTTTTCATGTATATGCTCATTTTGTATCCTATCTCTAAGGGTAAAGCCACTCATCCGCCTGAGCATCCTCATCTCTGCCACACTTAACTTAGTATTATGTTTTTCTTTTAATGGCCAACATTCGGCACCATAAAGCATTGCAGGCCTCACTACCATCTTATAGAATTTTCCCTTAAATTTGAGGGGTACATTTCTATCACATAACAAAGCCCGATGCATTCCTCCACTTCAACCATCCAACTTGAATTCTGCTGATAATATCCCCATCTATTTCACCATCACTCTGAACAATAGATCCAAGATATCTAAAACATGTACTCTTATTAATGACTTGATCGCCCAAAGTCACAATCCCCTCACTAGGTCTATTACTACTAAAATTACACTCCATATATTCCGTTTTAGATCAACTCAAGCGAAAACCTTTAGACTCTAAGGTTGACCTCCATAAATCAAGTTTACCTTCAACTCCCTCTCTAGTCTTATCAACAAGAAGAATATCATCAGCAAAAAGCGAGTAGGATTTTTATTTCAGCAAACTAACCAAGATACAAATTGATCTACTATTCAAGGGGTAGATTGGCTCTCCACAAACCCTATGCGCCACTACGAACAACTCCAAAGAAAACTACAACAAACACAATCACATAATGAAAATTAAACAACCTAATTAGCCTATATAAGCCTCCCTAATTTTCTTTCCAAATCTCAATTCTAAATAACACCCTTTTCTTAAATAAATCTTTCCTAATTCCCTCCCAAATCTCAATTCAAATCAGCCCCCTTTTCTTAAATAAATATTTTCTAATTCCCTCTCAAATCTGAATTCAAATCAGCCCCCTTTCCCTAAATAAACTTTCCTAATTCACTCCCAATTGTGATTTCCTATGGTTTGTAATTAAAGGTGAATTTATTCCCCTTTGGATGCCCCCTCTTTTCTTGTCCGCTATCCCTTCTAGTGCGGCCCACAGGCTCCGCCAGTCCATCACAGACTCTGCCATTTAATCTTGTGCGAGATAAACAAATTTCTTGTATTCCTCAAATAGATAGGGTGGGATTCAGAATCCTGATGTATTTTCAATTCTTTTCTAAGCATCTTTAAGATATTTTCAGAGACGTCAATTACTTTGAATCAAATGGGCTGCTTGTTCTTTACGTTGAAATGTTCACACACTAAGGAATTGTATTTATTGTATTACATTTCTGTTGGATGTTTTCGAGGGATTGATTAACCTTGCATATGAACAATTATTCATCAATTATATACGTATTCATCTAAGGCTAATCAGTTATTACTGAGCAATTCTTTTTGTTTTCTGGACTGCAATCAATTATCATCATCATCATTAACCTTATGCCAACTAGATTGGATTAAGTTTACGAAAAAAACATATCTAGGTTTTGGTTGGTGTCATCTTTTTATGCACTTAGATTTGATTTGGTAATCTTGTGTTTTGTTCTACAAAATAAAGTTACCACTGGTTTCATCGAGATGAACAAACTTTCCTACAAATGCATTTCCTATAGTTTTCAATAGTCATGATGGGGAGTGGGTTACAGGGTAATTTCTACTATGAATAAGACAAGCAGTAGGAAAAAATGGGCTTGCACTGTGTCAGTTCAGGTCATATCTACTCTGCATTTTTACACGAGGATTCATAATAGAGACAACCTAATGATTGCTCTAATGACAAGCTTTCCTACTACTATAACAACCTGTTTATCGCTGTTTATACAACTTTTTTGTTACAGATTTAGAAAATTATATGCAAATAGAAAATTATATGCAAATAGTGAGATGATACTTTGCTTAGTCATGTTTTGCACAAACAGCTTTCTTACTCTTTATCGTGTTTGTAGTTTTTATCAAATTTCAAGCTTCACTTTATCCTGTTAATGTCTTATCTATGTTTGCATATGTGTGCAGTATAATTTTGCTGAAGTTTCAGGTTGTGGAGAAGAGACTGATTCAGTAGCTAATGGAGATGGCAATCATGTACAGGTGAATCTCAGTGACAACAAAATAATGTCTCTGCATGTGCAATTTTTTTTTTCTTTTCACATCAGAGACAAGTTTTGTCTATTCTGACATGTAATATTTCTATTACTTGCAGCCTTTTTAATTCATTGATTATGTTCCTTAATTTTGATTAGGCGCTGATAGTTGCAGTTTTGATGATGCTGAGCAAAGATAACATTAAAAAAATGGTATCTCAAGCTCCTGTTAACCGTTTTTGTTTGGAATTGATAATGAACAATTGATAAGCTGGTAAAAATATGCTGAAATGACGCTCTTAAAGCTTTTCATTTTCAACGCAAGCATTACTAGTTGAAATGCAGACATCTAACAATTTACCTGTCTTGTTTATTAAAGCTATTAACAGAATTTATAGGCTATACTAAAAAACATTTTAAAAGCATTTTCCAGACTTGATGATGATGCTTGTGAGGTACAATGCTATCAGAGCCATAATAATATAGCTTTAATAACAAATATTTAGGTGATGATATTGGCTGTCAAGTACACATTTGTGTTTTTATTTTATTAACTAAGATTTTGTTTGGAATAATTTTTTTTTTTATTACTTTGTGGGGAAATGCCTTACCCCCCTCCAACAGGAGGATGACCCTAAACACGAAATCTCCCAAACCCAATCCTGTTATACGCTTGAAGACTAACTTGCTGACATGGACTATCCGAAACTTCGAAAACTTGCTGATAAATCGGAATTATATTGTTAGAAGATCCATACCAAGGCTCAACAGAAGAACAGAACAGAGCCTACCTGGACTTAGAACGACTTGCTTGTGATCAAATTAAAAACATGTTTAACTATATGAATGATTACAAAGTCATCGCTGCTAAGTCAAGACAAATGTATATCAACTCCGAACTATCTGATAAATTTTTCAGGAAATTTCCACCACTCATTGGAGATGAAATTGAAGCTGCCTTCAAATTAAAGTATCCAGGGAATACTATCGGAATAATGCCGTGCATCTGGTTTACCTACCAATACTTGGAGGATCTCTGTAAGAAAGTTGCCGTCCAAAGAGGTATCAAAGACCTCTCGATCTGTCAAAAGATACCCATACCAGGGTATTACAATAATCAGAAGAAGTATGGCTTGCGAAAGTCCAGAAGCTACAAGGGTAAGCCGCACGATACTCACGTGCGGGTCATCAAAAATAAGAACAAACCCAGATCCACAAAATGCAGATGCTATATCTGCGGAGAGGAAGGGCATTTTGCATGAGAATGCAAAAATCGAATAGAAAATATGGCACAAGTAGCCATACTGAATAACCTAGAGTTTCCAAATGACTACGATGTACTCTCGGTTGATCTTGATGAAGATCCTTCAGATGCGATCTGCAGCATCTCAGAAGGAGAAGGGGCCAATACCTTGGCTCATATCAAAAGTGCTCTGGAAAACATCTTGCCCGACAAGTTTGGGCTCATGATGAAGGAAGATTTGGAATGGCGATGCGCCATCAAATTAAGCAAAGAACAGGAGGAATGCAATCATGAGTGGGAGCATAACATGCCAATATAGGGGCCGCATACGCGATGCACATATTGCTTTATCTTGACTAACATACATATGCGTATACATTGCATATTATGCAAAATAACTGCTTGCAGATAAAAAGTTGCATCCAAAAGAACAAAGCTACAATGGCTGTCAAAGACACTCTTCATGAGAAAACAAGAGGTCTTTAAATAGATTTGCAACCGACATTATCGTCCAGGATGATCGCCAGATCATCCCGTATGATTTTCATAAAAAGAGAGCTTGTGAAAATTCCAAAAACTCAATTTCAGCGCAAAACATCATCTAGGACGATCGAAGAATCGTCATGTATGATGTGGTTAAAAAGTGGGCTTCAAAAAATCCTAAAAACTCAATTTCGGCGCCCAGAATTGTCCTGGACGATCGCAGGATCGTCCAATACGATGTGCAGAATTTGACATGATAGTCTTAGTCGATATTAGGATAGTCCAGGATGATTAGTACAAAAAATGTACAAATCATCTAGGGCGATGTTGTGGATCCAGGACGATTAGAAGAAAAATTATGGTATTTCGACTTAGATGATTTAGGAAAATCAAGTATGTTGGCAAACATCATCCTGTATGATATACAGATCGTCCAGGACAATCAGATTGAAAAATTTAACTATAATTAGTCCCCTAATAACAGGATCAATTTAGGCATGATTTATATTGATCGTCTAGGACAATTTGAACAAAAAATTAAACTTAAATCCTTGCTTAAATTGTTATTGATGGCTCTTTTTCAAGATAATAAAGGATCGTTCTAGACGATCCAAAATCGTCCAGTATGATTAGTTTAAAACTTGATCTTTTGGATTTGATTAGATCTCACTCCATTGAGTGTGTGTGTGCATGATCACCAAGCAAGCATACACCCTAACAAGACTTGACGCAAGAAATAAAAAATTATATCAATGAATATTACAAACCCTTTTACAACATAACATTATTCAACCCAATCTTGAGCTCTGATTCTTTGTTTGATGTTGCATGGTATTCCTGAAATGTTAGTATACACACAAATAAATATATATTGCAAATACAAGTAGACAACAAAAACTGAGCCATAATTTTTGTTATCATCAAAAACATAAACTCATAAGCTCGAGTTGCAACAATCTCTCCCTTTTTGATGATGACAAATATTACTAGTTGAATTTATAAAATTGAAAATATTATCTCCTAATCTCCCCCTCACTAGAATATCCATAGGCAAATTTTTTTGATTTTATTTTAAAATAAGTACAAATGTAAATATAATTACAACAGTACGAGTATAAATGCAAATACAAATACAAATACAACAGTACGTTCTCCACCTTTGATATTATCAAAAAGAGAAGGGGCACAAACAATCAGGACAATAAAAAAAGATTAAAAGACAAAAAATGATCCCTGATCAAGTGAAGACAAAATCAAATATTCTTAAAATGAAAAAGTTACATCTTGATTTTATTGAAAAACTTAGAAGGATTGTATTGACAACACATAGCCCAAAAAAGGTTAAAAATTCAAAATTTGTTTATCCAAACTCAAGTTCTTTTAAAGACTCAAAATTTTTTTAATCTAATATCTAAAGAAATGAACAAATTAGATAAAGAAACATTAATTTTTTCAAAACTTCTTCCATAAAACATATTTAATAGAAGATTAATGCACGAATTGTTTAATCAGGAATCATGATTCTCAAACTCAAATATCGAAAGTATCAAGGGTTTTCTTTAAGCTTTAAGAAGTACAAGAATGGTAAGCATTATATTTTGTGGGCTCATTTTATGCCTCTTGATAATTGGTTGGCGCACTACGCATCTTTTGATTTTTGATACACTTTGTGTATCTTTTTTTTTTCAATTTGACATTATTACACATCTTTTTTTTTTGGCATCATTGGCTACTTTTTTTTTAATATGCTATATTTTTAAAATAAAAATAAATTCATTCTTTTGACAAAATGAATTATTTGATTAAGAAAATTATGAGGTAGATTCAACAACTTGTAAAAGATTCCTATGCGATAAATAAAATATAGGGAGATGAAAAAAGATCAGTTTCAATATTCAATTTATAATATGATGAAGATTTTGAATTAAAAGTAAAATAACCTCTTTAAGAAGAGAGATATAGATACAAAATTATGAGTTTCCTTCCTTTGATTATTTTTAGAGAAGTCAACCACAACTTTCATAAGAATTCAAAAAAAAAAAAATGAGATAGGTTTTTCATTTTTAGAAAAGTGAATGTGTGTGTTGATCAGAGAGAACTTCACAAAAGGAAAGTAAAGATAAATTTAAAATTTTATGTAACGAAGGAAAAAAATAAAAAAATAAACTCAAAGAAAACACATAAATAATAATAATAATAATAATAATAATAATAATAATAATAATAATAATAATAAAACATACATAAAAAGATAAACACACAGCCAAGGGTTTAAACATCATCTTGCTCATGGTTTGATGATTCAGAAGCTAGGTCTGCCCAGGAGATTTTTTACTTTTCATTACTTGCCCTTTCTATAATTTGCTTAGCTTTACACTTTTCTTTTTTAGAAAGAGTTCTCAAATTAGGGCACTGATTTTTCATATGTCTAGGTTTCCTACATCCAAAGCAAATAACATTAGAAAAAATCTTAACATTCTTACCATTGTTACCTCTATTCCACTTTTGTTGATGCTTATGCTTGTGCTTTAGTGGCCTTTCCAATTTTCTTGATATGTCATCGCTTTCGTCACCAACTAAGCATCTTTTCTCCATATTTTCAACGTTTAGCATTATTGTTTCACCTGCATCCAAAAATCTTTGACCTAAACTTTGCTCGTAGGCAATGAATGAACCAATCAAATTATCAATAGAATATTCATTCAAATTTTTCGATTCACAAATAGAAACAACTTTGACATCAAACTTATCAAGTAGACAATGAAAAATTTTATTGACTTTTTCAAAATTTGAAAACTCATTTTCTAAAGCATGTCATGATGTAATAATTTGAATAAATCTAGTAAACATGTCTAAGATCGTCTTATAAGGTTTCATAAAAAAAGTTCATAATCATGCATTAAAATATTAAACTTGGATTGCTTTACTTCACTAGTGCATTCATATATGGTGTGTAATTTATCCCAAATTTTATTACTAGTAGTGCATGTGAAAACAAACATAAAATCTTCATAATTTAAAACACAAAAAATAGTTTAATGATTTAGCATTTAATTGAGCATTGATTTGTTCTTCTCTACTCCATTGATTAAAAGAAATATCCATTTTAATTTCATCGATGACGGTGCAGAATAACCAGTTAAAATCATTTGTCACATTTGAAAATCAATTGATTGCAAGAAAGTAGACATGCAAATTTTCCAAAAATCAAAAAGTAATATTTTCAAATAAAGGTGGTCTGCTGATTGAATAACCTTCCGCAATATCACGATTCCAAAAATTAGCTATTGATCAAAATTCAAAAGTTTTTAAAAATTAGATTTTATGAATCACGCTCTGATACCACTTGAAAGTTCGTTAGGGATGTTAGGCCCTTATGAACTAGCCCAAGGCTAATTAAGAGAGAGGTGAATTGGTATTTTTAAGAAATCTTTGATAATAAAAAAGCCAAACCAAAATTCGCCACAAAGAAAATATAATGCGAAAATTAAATACAAAAATAATAAAGGAAATAACACAAATTTATAGTGGTTCGGTCAAATATTGACCTACGTCCACTCCTCGGTGGCACCCTCCGAGTATTGCACAAAACT